TCCGCCGTCATTGATAAATACATGTCTTATCTGCTGTTTTGCTTACTTTCATGCTCTCTCGCTGTTTTCTCTGGCCTCTCATCCGATATCCACATCGGTTCTTTTTCTGTCGCTTGGCACAGGTAGGTCCTAACTTGGAGCATTTTCCACGGTTTCCTGTTCTTTTTTCTTCCCGGGAACTCAAGCAGCACGTACACATTCGCTTTCCAATATGCTTTATTGAATATGCTGTACAAATTAGAACAATCAAGAAACTGCTCGTTACCTGAGTGCTGACCAGCTGCAATAAGATCGAACATGAAATTTATTAGGCATGCACTACAACTAGTAACACTTCCAAGCTTGTTCTTCTTTAACCTCCGTAACACCAAGGATTTGACCCTTGGCCGCACTCGTGGTAGGCGCCACCTACCGTTACATCACTTCCGATCATTTAGCACGAATTTTGAATTCTTCGCTGTGCATGGCTGGGGCGTGTCAGGGCGAAAGGATTGGCCTCGGCCCGTCTCCAGCCTATTCTCCACCACACTTGAAACGTGGCAGGGCGACCACAATTGCTGGAAAACTGGCTGGCGCTGGGACAAGCTCCCTGTCGCTATGCCACCCTAGGCGTGGCGAGCGACGCAACACACGCAACAGACGAGTTGTTGTTGTAGGCCGTTCAAACTCAAAAGTTGAAGGGATGGGGGAAATCGATGTCACTCGGTATGAAGTTTTGCCTCTCTATGACTATCATGAATTTCGCTGGTCCAACCCACAGAATTGAAATATTTGCCGCGCACGCAGTGCGCTGCCCCCTCTTCCCCCACTCCCCTCCTCCTCCTCCGACATGCCTCAGGTTCCGCAGTGAACGAGACTGTGTCCCGGATAGTATCTGCAATCTGAATTCAGACATAAACAGCTATCTTATGATTTATTTATTACAAATTAATAGTCATTTAGATAAATTATATGCTTTTGAAATAACTTCATAAAAATTCTACGGTTTACGAGAGGAATGGTTGGGAGGAGCATCTGTCATGAGTAGACGGAGAAATCTTCATAACTTTCTCCATCGCTGCCGAATTCACCAATGTAATCCGATCCTTCGGAGTCAAAGCTCACCTATAGTGCAACAATTTACTTTTAGTTACCTGGTACATTCTCTACGAGAAATGCTATAAATCGCTAGAAATCGGGAACTGTGAGGAAACGCATTGCACCTGACCTTGCTTGGAAAGCCTCTAGGAGCTGAGGGTATTTTGGACTTCGGTCTGTCCACTGAAGGAAAATCGTCTTCTTGCGATTGCAAAATCTCCATATCTAACCCTGAAGTTCCACGTGTATGTTGTAAACTTGTAGGGGCTCAGCTGATTTCAGAAGTTTACCGTTGTCACCGTCTTTCTGTGTGTAAACCTCGGCAAGCTGCTCGGTAGTCAGATACTTGGCATCTTCTGCATCTGGAGTTCTTACAACTGAAATGAGGTTAGGGTAGGCTGTATAGATTCTCCAGAAATCTATTCAATTATTGATACTCTATGCATGCGATCCTGCCCTTGAAAGCTCCGAGTTCCCGACATCCCGGATGCCGAATTCGAAGGAAAAGCCCAGGGGGGGTATAATGAAGCTGTGTGGCCCACCGCTCGCTTTTGCCGCCTTCGAGCGGGATGTGCCAGAGAACAATGCGCAATGCTAGTCCACCCAAACAGTCGGCGTGGACCATGCCTTTTACAGGAGAATGTGGAGCAGAGACCTCTCAAAGAACCAGTTCCTTGAATCCTCCCAAGAGAGCCGTTTTATCTCTCACTTCGACTACAGGGATTTCAAATTTGGTTACGTCATAACAATAAACAAGAAAATTCTCACCCCAGCGGAAATGAAGGGTCACATCCAGGGTTGAATTCTGTGCAAAGAATATTATTGGTACATTACGGCCTTTGGAGATGATTCGCCGAAACCAGTGAGATTTGCAACAGAACCTGAAAGAGTAATTGAAACAACGAGCATTCACATGACTTGGGAACTTTTGATTTCTGCGCGATGGCTTTTAGAAAA